TTTCCAGATTCGTTTCCTGATGGAATTGGGTAGCTGTTCATTTTGGAGTTGAGCTGCTTTGAAGGCTGACTTAGCAGAGAAGCATCCATTAGCAGTTAGGCTCCATAAATCTTGATCGTCCTCCATGGAAAGGGGGTCGACCATGGCTGCTCTAATTTTGTTCACCGTTTGCATAGGGAGAAGTTGTTGGAACTCTTCAAGCTTCCATCCTCGATCGGGGTCCCAAAACTCAGCCACGCTTTCCTTTTTGTTCTCCTCTGAAAGTTCTGCAGTGGCGAGATCTTTTAGAGGAACCTGCGAAATCCAGGGATCACACCAAAAATTAGTTCCCCTACCATTTTTAATGTTCATAGCAAAATCCTTCTTAAGCACATTGGTCATAGAGACAAAGCTCCTCCAAGCAAGAGAACTTCCCTGTTTCTTTTGCAGAATGTTGATGCCTTCTCTGTTCCCAGCATATTTGTCAAGAAAAAGTCTTGTCTAGAGAGTTTCTTCCCTCGTCGCTAACTTCCAGCTACCTTCGCCAACATTGCCTAGTTTGCCAACTTGTAGGGAGAATCCTAGCACCACCTTGATCTCTTGGTAAGGTTAATTGTTCCCAGTTCCACGCAATCGGGTGAAATTTCCTTTTCCCTTCTTCTTCCCCCCAAATGAACTTTCTGTTAGCCCTGTCCACAGAATTGCAAACAGAGGCTGGAAGTGACTCTGAAAACATTGGGTAAACAGCCATGGAGAAAGAGACTGATCTCACCAGAGTCATGAGAGAAGCCAGAGACAGGTAATTCGTCTTCCAGGAAGCAAGTTTCTTCTGAATGCACAACACTAAATCTTTGTATCTAGTTTTGGAGACTCTTCCATGAATGGCATTGAGCCCTAGATATCGCCCCAAATCGCTGGTGAGAGGGATATTGGCTTGGTCACAGAGGTGTTGCGCTTTCTGTCGATTGAAGTTTGGAGAGACATACATCATTGATTTTCTCAGGTTGACCTTTTGTCCCGATCTCTCAAAAAATCATCTAGGCAGCTCTTGATAGTCTCTACTTGATTAGAACCTGTCTCTGCAAACAAGATCAAGTCATCTGCGAAAAATAGGTGAGACAATTTAAAGCCATGGGAGGTAAGAGATAAGGGTTTCCGTTGTTTGTTTTCCACAGCTAAATTGATCTTATGGGAGAGTCTTTCCATACAGAGGACGAAGAGGTAGGGAGAAAGACGGTCTCTCCCCCCCCCCCCCCCCCGAGAAGGATGAATTCAATCAGTCAAGGTGCCATTCCAACTGATCTTCATTCTGTTTTCCTCTACAGTTTTCATGATCCTCTTATCTAGGTACTTGGGAGACCAATTTCAATCAAAGTGTCCCTAATGAACTCCCATCTTAACCTGTTGTAAGCAATGTAGTCAAAAGCGAGTTTCTACGTAGAAACGTTATGGTGATCTAGAAGCGTAAAATCGTAAGTTTTTAAGTATTAAAGCGGAGTTTTTAACTACATAAGTTATAAAACTGAGATTTTGTGTAGAAGCGTTTTAGTGAACTAGAAACGCAAAATCGAAAATTTTTAAGTTTTAAAACGCGATTTTGACTACATTAACGTAAGCCTTCTCAAGGTCTATTTTGATCACCATTCCTCCTTTTTTTCCTTTTCTAGATCGAAGAGAATGTAGCACCTCTTGCAGGATGATGATGTTGTCATTCGTTTGTCTCTTGGGAATAAAACCACTTTGGGTAGGAGCTACCAATTTGCTCATCAACGGTTTCAATCTGTTGGGAATGGCCTTAGTGATGGCTTTGAGGCTCACATTGTTGAGGCAAATAGGTCAAAGCTGAGTAGGGGAATCAGGGTGGGTAACTTTGGGAATAAGAACAATGGTGAAATCCATCATATCAGTAGGAAGATGACCTGTTTCAAAGAAACAAATAGCTAAGTTAGCAATAGGGGTGGGCAACGGAAACGGGTATTTGGGTATACCCATACCTGTCCGTTTTTTGAGGGTTACGAGTACCCAAATACCCGTAATTTTTTTTTGGGGGGATTTGGGATCAACCAGTTCTACAATGGGTACCCGCGGTTACCCGTTAATACCCGTTTGGGTATTACGGGTACCCGTACTACCCGCCCATAACTACATTCCCTAAACCATTAGTTCTCTGTTCTAATTTTCATTTACAACATTATCATGATCATACTTTTTATGTTGGTGGTTTAGATGATGATGTGGGAAGGCAAAAGTTTCCATTACTTCTGTCTCAATCGCAATTGTTTATTTTACGTCTGGTAGTGTTATTTACTGGGTTGAAGAAGTTGGTAATGGGTGGCGAATGTGGGGGTGAAAGAGATATTGCAAGTGAAATAATGCGGAAGAAACTCAACATATATGTATTGATCTCTTTATCCTAATGTATTGGTACAATGATGGTTTGTAGGTAACAGAGGCATACACGTTCTTCTGAAGTACGAACAGAATTGAAGTGAGTAGAGTACATGGGGAGAATAAGTAGGAATAGAGAAATAGTAAAGAATAAAAATTCTTTTGCAGATAATGAGCGGCTATTTTAAGGTGGATCACTTCAATTTTTGTTATTTTAGGTATTTACGGGTTACCCGCGGGTACCCGTTATCCGTCCCGTACGGGTAATGGGTACCCGTTAGGCCGTTAATCCGTACGGGTTTGGGAATGGGATGGAGTTTTCTCTCCAAATGGGTTTGGGTACCCGTATCAAACTGGACGGGTACCCAGCCCGTCCCGTTGCCCACCCCTAGTTAGCAGTAGTTTACTCTACCAAAGACCACAGTTTTTTATAAAAGACAGCTTGAAAACATCCGGGCAGGGGCAGAGAAAGGTTTCATTCCCAAGATTGCTTTATGAATATCTAAGATAGAGAAAGGATGAAGAAGTTCTCCCTGGTCAATTCTGGGGAAAACGTTTTTGGGCATGAGGTCCAGGTAAGGAGAGGAGTCCTGCTTAAAAAGCTAGGAGTAGAAGGAAACAACAAGCTGTTCTAGCTCCACCAGATTCTCCACCCAGTTCCCAGCCTCATCTTTGAGAGCCAGAATTTTGCTTTTCCTTCTCTTTTTAGTAGCTTGATGGTGAAAATAGGCAAAATTATGATCTCCGAGGGTCGCCCAATTTTCTTTAGCCCTCTGGAACCGGATGATCTCTTCTTGCACAAGAAGATTATCGAACTCAGTTTCAATTTTTGCTTGCAGCTTGAGGAGACCAGGATTGAAGTTGTTGGCTATATTGATTTGTATTCCTTTCAATCTAGCCAAAAGCCTCTTCTTCCTGTGCTGAATGATCCTGAAAGTCTCCTTGTTCCATCTTTGGAGTTTGATGGAGATTTCATGGAGAGCTTGATGAAGGTTAACATCTTTATTCTAGGAGCCTTCAAAGAAACTATGAAAATCCTCATGAAGTAACCAGGCTGCCTCGAAACGAAAAGGTCTTTCACCACTTGCAATAGGAGCCATCCCAACACTGTTGGTTAGAATAGGTAGATGATCTGAATGCAACTTGGGGAGATGTTGGACCACGGTGTCAGGGAAGGAGGAATTCCAAACAGAATTGCAAAAGGATGATCAATTCTGCTAGCTTTATGGCCAGTTCCTAAGTTTCCTCGAAACCAGGTGAAACGAGCTCCAGAGAAACCCAAATCAATCAAGTTAGCAACATCAATCCAATTGGCAAAATTATGACAGCGTCTAAGGGATGCGGGAGAGATTGATCTTGTTTTCTCCGAGGGGAATCGATAGGCATTGAAGTCACCAGTTACGAGCCAAGGCAAATGGTTATTGTTGTTGGTATGAATAAGATGATCCCACAGCTGTTGATGGAACTTGTACTGAGGGATCCCATAAACCCCAGTGAGCAGCCACTCTCCCTGACATCTTTGGAAGCTCTAATGGTGATGTGTTGTTTGCTGGCATCTATAAGATGTACATTGAAATCCCCAGCTTTCCAGGCTAGCCAAATACCACCAATTCTTCTCTCAGCATCAAATCTCACCACTTCATCAAAACCCAGATTGCCACAAACTTTGTTAGCACGATCATCGCTAATCTGGGGTTCGAACAGAATGAGAAAATTCGGCGTGTAAGACTCGACAAGCAACTTGATAGCTCGTCTGACGTCTTTGCTACCTGCACCACAAACATTCCACGCTAGCACTTTAAATTTGGTTGTATAGACATAAGGTAAAAAAGTGAAAGGAACTAACAAAGGAGTAGTGACAAGAAAATATCCAAAAAATTAAACGTGAGCCTCGGAGACAGCTGTTTGGTCTCTCTGGTTGTCTCCATTTTCCAATTGATTCTTAGCGGTGGTCGCGGCATGCATCTCCACCATGTCCACATTAGTAGGTTTCCCCGAGAGAATATTTTGGAACTCCTGGGCCTTCAATTGAGTGTGAGCATAGAACTCCTCGATGGCTTTCAGGGTTATGGGGAAGTTATTGTTCGTCGTTTTCTTGGGCCGGGCCTTCTTTGTGGCAGAATTGATTTGAAGAGGTTTCTTGATGCCCTTGAGATTGATCCCCTTGCCTTGGTTATGTTTAAGAGAGCTCTCCTCTGTTTTCTTTTGTGACCGTTGGCGGCTGCTGTACTTTTTGAATTGGGTTCAAAATTTTCTTTCTGGTCAACCACCAGTGGGGGAACGGATAGAATGCGGATCGTCGTGTTGTTTGGGCCCAGAATCACGTCTTTGGATGAAGTCGTGTTGGACGAAGAGGCCTGGCCCACAAGAATTCCTTGGGCTTTTGTTGGCTGAGTTTCACTAGTGGAGTTGCCTTTTGAATCTTTCTCCCGCCATTCCTGAGAGCCGTTAGCTTTCTTCTTCCCGTTATTAGTCTCTGATTCCATATCCTCTGCTTTCCCTTTCTGAGCACCATGTATTCCTTTTTTTTCTCTTCATTTATTTCTTTCTTTCCTTTTTTGTCTGCGCGGATCACTCCTTTGTGTGATTCTCCTTTCCCTTTCCCCCCTGATTTTGGTACAGCTTTACCTGAATCAGTACCAAATGATGAGGAAAGTTCGAGTAGTTACCCGATTTGGGTTTATTCGGCTTCCATGACTTTCGAGTGACTTGCATCCACGGACCGTAGCCGGAGGGGTTTCCGATGATTGATTCGCTGGCAAGCTCGGCGATGCGTTGTCGGGAACTAAAACCAGAGCTAGCTCCTGGGATGGTGACCGATTCGGGCAATGTTCTTTGAGGTGTCCAATTCTGCCACACTCATAGCAAATCTGAGGGAGATTTTCGTATAGAACCTGCTGTCGAATGCCGTCAAGGTAAACCTTTGTCGGAAGAGGTTTTGTCGGATCTAACTTAATATCAATCCTGGCAAATTTCCCTAGTTGAAGCGTTTCCGTGTGGTAATCCAACTTCACTGTGCGACCAATTAAGTTTCCAATTGCAAATAAAACTTCTTTGTGGTAGAAATGCACTGGCAGCTCAAGAAATTGGACGCAAGCAACGACCGATCGGTGAGGTTTGTCCGTAGATCGGAAGCTTGGTCCATTGATGAACAAGAAGATAGTGGTCTAAGATCACCCATGGACCACCTGTAAGCGCTTTGAGATAATCATGATCGTTGTTAAATGTCACCAAGAAAGTCTCGTTGTTCAAATCAATGATGTCCAGTGACCCTGAGGGCCGCCACATCCATCTGAGTTGAGAGCATAAATATGAATAAGAGACTGACCGGCCTAGAAGACGAACAATCAGGGTCTTCTTCCATGGATCACAGATTCATTCCTTGAATTTTTCCGAGAAGTTAAGTGCAGGATCGCCATTGAGAGTGTCGGCCACCATATCGTGTTCACTCACGAAGGCCATTGGCTAGCTTTGGTTACTCTTTCCGAGGCCTGACCTGTGAGCACATTCTTGTAAGACACCAGAGCGGCATTTCCATCAGGACCAATTGGAGGGGTATCCTGCTGAGTTTGTTGAGGCGTGGATCGGGAGGTTTGCTTGCCGGAGGAGGTAAAGAAGCTGACGGCGAAGAGATAACAAGGTTCACCATTCAGAGAAAAAAACCAATTTTCCTTATTCACCATCCGTAAGAAAGAGGTTGGTTAATAACTTGAGTTATTGAGATGATTATGGTTTTTAACATTTATAATCGTTAGCAATGAACAAGTGAGTGCAACACCCTTACCACTTCAACTTTGATAATATTTATCTGCGGTAGGAATACGACATTTGTGAATATAAATATTTTTCATTTCCTTAATCGTACTTACGAAAAATATTTTAATTACTATTAATTTCTTGGAAAAGATGTTTGGTCCAATAGTAATATTATTGGATTTAAAACTAAAGGTATCATATTCGAATAACTTAAATAACACCTAATTAAAAACCAAATCTATATCACAAGATAGAAGATATAGTCCTAACTGTTGATAAAATTACATGTAAATTTTAAATGAATTTGAAAAGTTGAGAAATTAAGAAGACTTTTATAACTCCTCCAAGGCTCCAACCATGTATGGGGGCCGACGCTTGCCCAGGTCCGGAAGGTAAAAAACGTTGCTAGCTGGTGATAGGGGAGCTAGCAACCAAAACCCCGATGAACGGCGACTGAATTATCACATTTCAAATTTCTCATACCAAAATTTTTCTATTACCCTCGTTTGAGTTACTTACTCGCCCACTTTAGGAGTTTTCCATTCATTAATTTTTTATAACGAAATGGAAAATTAACAATACAAAAAGGTAAAAAATATACAAACTTATGTGTTTTACTAATACGATGTGTGTTAGCTAATTCATTCGACAAAAATGCCAATTTTACTATATTTAAAGAGATATACATTACAGAAATTGAGAAGGTAATCCGACTTAAATCATGCATACAACAACATATGCAGCGAAGAAAAGAAAATCAAAAGGTTGACTGACCCTTCAAGCGACGGAGATTTGGCTTGGGATAATAATTGTGTTCTAATGATCGATTGGCGGATGCATTAATATGTGTGTGTTGCTGACATATTTGTGGATCGTGGTGAAGATCTCCTATATGCCTGCCTGGCTGGAGCTTTCTAGCTACGTAAACTTCCAACATTATTATTTACTTCTAGTCTCATTGACTTGTTCTCATCCCCGACAGAAATTTGATCCAGTAATCAGGGCTAATTAATTACCAGAAAATTCCACAGAGGGAAAATTGGTTTCACGTTCGAATCAATAGATCAACATCATGAAATCATGATCACCGATCGTCGTCAAGACTCAAGATGGTTCGTTTCCAGTCACTTGGAGGGCATGCCCGGCTATAAGGAGAAACACAGGGGCCCTAGAGGCCGACCTTCATTTCTTCCACTTTACAACTGCATCATGATTTCTAGAATTAGTGGTATTCCTACTTGCTGGCCATGGGTATTGGTGTTCTTAGTGGAATTTTGCATGATCAATGCACACTGACTTAAAGAAAATAGAAAACGATGTTATTCGGTTCACACCTCTTCAAACACTATTCCAACGAGGGTGTTCGATGCATACATCAAAGGATCTAGTTATTGTTACCTCTACTCCTATATAGTTTCCTTGAGAGTTGCGCAACTACTGACTACAACTAACTGAGAAGCCTCGTGGAGGGTCCCTGGTGCTACTGCCACGGTTACTGTTCCAGAGAGAAAAAGATAAACTTTGACGAGACGGTTTATGACTTGATTTGTCTGCCCTTCATCCAGAAGTATGTTGCCAGTTTTGTTCAGCCTCCTCTCCAACTGCCTTGTCTCTCTCTCTCTCTCTACCAAAAATCAGCTCCACATAGCATCAATTAACTCCTCTTTGAGTGTCCTTTGCAAGTCAGCTGCTCCTTCAGTAACCACCTTCGACACGTAATCATGTCACTGGACAACTAACCCTGTGTACCATGGATGGGCCATTGGATGGTCACCATACATCAAAAAACCTAGATGTATCTATGTTGACGAGGACAATAATCCATGGATGATATCCAGACTAGATGGTCACCATACCATAATATGGATGGTACCATCCAGTTAGTAATTTGGATGGTAACCATGAGACAAAACGACATCATCCATATATGATTGGACGGTATCTCTATTATTTGGACGACATCGTCCACTTAGAGTTGGGACAGTATCCATGATGTTGGGATGGTACGATCCACCATAGGGTTGGGATGGTATCCACGATCTTAGATGACACCATCCATGATAGGGTTTGGATTGTATCCATTATGTTGGACACTACCATCCACTTATAGAGTTGGATGGTGTCCATTATGATTGAGAGGAGTGAAGATTCTTACCTCTCAAGGGAGATTCAAGCAAGGAGGAAGGAAGATTGTCATCTCTTCATATTCTTTCTCTCCTCTTTGTTGTTTTCCTTTGCCTAGCCATGGAATAGCCCACCTAATCACTTGGGTATTGTGAATCCTAGTCTAGATGTATGTTAGGATGTAAGAACTTGATTCCATTGTGTTGATTGTGTGTTTTATATAATATTTGAGGTATTTAATCATGAATGATTGAGTGTTGCTTGCATTATCTCATTATTGGTCAAATTAACCTAGAGGGTGGAAATCCCCCTTTGGCCCATAGGGAGCTCGACCTCCTAGCCTCTTGGGTAACCCCTTCTAGGTTAATATAGGGCAAAAACCTCAAGTATTGGATTAGTACCATGATTCTTTTGTGATTGGTCTCTCCGCCATCCAGATTAAGTTCATAGGGTTTGGTTTGCAATCCTTAGTTGACCAGTTAAGAGGGTTAGATTGCCTAGCCTATTGTCGCAATCCTTGGTCGAAAGGTTACGAGAGTTAGTCTACTAACTTATTGCGACAATCCTTAGTTGGTCAACTAAGAGAGTTAGGGTTTTCTTCGTGATCGAACAAGAGAGCTAGGACCCCTAGCTTATTGTTGCAATCCCTACCCGAGAGGTTAAGAGAGCTATGTTCCCTAGCGTTTGTAGCAATCCTTGATTGATCGACCTAGAACAGTTTGCTCCTAGCTTGTTGCACCCGCCACGGTATATAAACATATCCTTCACACAAGGGTTTCGTTCATTGTTTCTTAGCACGAGACTAGGGGAACCAATACCCAAGTGAAGTCCTCTCATATAGAATTCTCCTCGATTTACTTTACTTGTTTGTTTATTTTGTATTTTTCTTAGTTTTAAACCCAAAACCGTTTTGCTAGATAACAACCTAAGTTATTAAAGTAAGGGTATATGGACCGGCCCAGGTTTGACAATTAAATACTTGCCCTATACTGCACCCTGCTAGAGTTTAAAAACTTGGGCTCTATTCGGGATTAAATCGCAGTGTAGTTTCATGTGAGTCATTACTATGCCCCCCAGACAGCTTAATCCGACCATCCTTGTACAACTGGTCAAAAATTACGTCTAACTTGGAAACATCAAAGGAAAACTTTCTAGGTTGAATTGGAGCACGGTTAGATTTTACAACTTATTGTTCATTATCAATTTTGGCTAAGGAAGCACAAACATATGGCTTCCCTTGCACCAATGGCGGAGGGAGAGGGTAACAGGGTGGGTCCCGGGACCACCCTGGTTCGGGAGGAAAATGATTAAATTAGGTACGATAATTAATTGATATAAAAAATTAGGTCACATTTAGTTGATAATAGTAGTTTTGTGTTTGAATCTAATACGATATACATATTTGTGCAAACTTCAATTTCGTATAAGTTGATTTTCTTATGAGGGAGCATGCTAGTAAATGGTATCATATATATTATTGAATCTCTTCCAACAACTTGATTTGTTGATACTAAATGTTTTTTTTTACAAAGAACATTATTCGAAAGCTAAATCATGAATTATTGATTGGTGTATGATTTATTATTAAACCTCTATCAACAACTCGATTTATTGTTACTAACGGTTCTTGACAAAGAACACCATTTGAAACCGTAAGAGTGTACGACTAACTAAACAAATTGTTTGGTACGTAAATGATATTCTTGATATTTTTTTACTACTAATGCATTTAAATTTACCAAAAAATTTCAATTTAAGATTATATTAACAAAAACTATTTCATCATGTGTATTTTTTTCTAGGTGACCCACCTTAAACGAAATCCTGGCTACGCCACCGCCTTGCACAATTTCAGCCAAATCTATCTCGACACCATTCCACATTCTGAGCAGCATGGTTGATAGTATAATCAAAGCAAGGGTGGTATTGTCCCATAGATGCACTACTTTTACTCTCCTCTTCACGCAGAAGAGTCTCATACCTAACATCACATGACATCAATTGGAATAAATAAGAGAACTCCCTATCTTGAAATTTTTTATGAAGTTCAAAGTTTAAACCACCTTGTGATAGCTTGACAAATTCATGTTGTGTCAAGTTGAAAAAACAACGATTATGTGCATTTTTAAAATTTGTTAAGAAGTGTTCCACTGTCTCCACTAGTTGTTGCCGCATACGTGCCAACTCCGCAATAGTCACTTCTGGTTCGGAA